TAACAATACTATAATTATCAAATACAACGAATTAAACTATATGCACAATACAATAGATTTACAACGCGAAATTTTGATCTACATTTGAAAAATGTAGACTATTATTTTTCAATTCAACTTAAAAAAAAAATCTGTAAATTTATTTTCAACGATTGTAACACTAATCATAACTATTGCTGGATCATCCATAATAACACTCCTGTCATTAATGCCATTCAAACAATTAACATCCGGAATGAACATTAACTGCTATGACTTTGAAAACTTATATACCTCACTTCCTCTACAAGAAATCTATGCTAGTCTACTAGATCTGCTTAAACTCTTCCCTGATATGATAACGATTATGAGTCTTAACAAATGGAAAACCTACCTAAAATGCACACTGTTTCATAACTACATCAAATTTCAAAATCAACTTTTTTTTAAACAAGTCAGAGGACTACCAATAGGCTCTCATTCCAGTACCTCGCTCTGTAATATCTTTTTATTTATCAAAGAATTTAACTTCCAAAAAAATCTACAACCACAAGAATTAAATGACTACAAGCACACTTACAGATATATTGATGACCTTATTACAATTAATAATTTTAATAAAATTGAACACTCCGAGATTTATCCAAATTGTCTTACACTTAATAAAACTAATAATTCACAAAATAGCATAGACTATCTAGATCTTCAAATCATTAACTACAAAAAAATTTTACTTTTTGACAAAACAAGAAACTTCAATTTCAATACTAAAAATTAATAAGTTGGAATTCCAACATATCCAAAAAAGTAATTAACAATACAAATAAATCAAATACAAACGAATTAAAATATCTGCACAGATACGATAGATCTACAACGCGAAATTTTGCTCCTTATTAAAATTCTCAAAAATAATCTAATTCCATTCAATTTATCAACCATTGCCTTAAAGAGCAGGCGTAAATACTCACTCTAAATCATTTAACTGATAGGGATATGATAAATTTGTTCCTAAACCTGAGAAGGTGGTATAAGTTGGATGACTATCAGTTGGAAGATTTGTATCATAGTGTAATTACGGAAATCAATTGCATATATTGTAAAAAGCTAAATCACTGTCTTCATGGACATATTTCTGTTACCTATTGCTGTTACTAAAAAATGGGCCTATTTCATGCTCTTTAAGTCTGTCTAAATCAGCTCTTGGACAGTGAAAATTACTTAGTCTTCTTTTCTTCGACATTCTGAATAACAATTAGCCAGAAATTAATTAATTTCCATTCAACTAGTATTTTCAAAAAAATCTTAACAGACAGTCTCTCTCAGAATAAGAACTCCACAAATACATCCCTCAATTCCAAGTCCCACCCACTACCATAAATTACTTCACCCAAGTCTTACCGACTGATATTATTCAAAGCCCCTACTGCCGCTAAGAATTTTCGGACACTCTACACTTCTGAGTCAGACACGAAGAGAACACTTTGCCAACTCCCCCACTAGAAAGAATGTAAGTTACTTAATACCATTTCTGGCCTTTATATCTTCATGTACATTCACTGATCTTATTTATATATTATTTCTATATTATTTTTATATTTTTTTATATTGTCTTTGATTTGTTTTTACAAAGTTTGCATTATTTATCTTATTTTGTAATCTTCTATGTTTATTTCAACTTTACTTTGAATTCGATTTCATAATGACAATTTTCCAATGTTTAATTTCTACAAATAATATAGACTCAAATACATAAACATGAAAGTGTCGAGGACGGTTACTCGAGTTAAATAGGATTTCTCTACAGTAATTGATTTTTACTCCAAATTGAATTGACTAAAATGCTTCATAAGAATAAGTTCTTTGAGTATCAGCATGGTTCATAATTCCTTCTATTCGCGGAAATATTTGGCCTGACTAGAATTGCCAGTTTGGCTTTAACTTATAACTCGAGTAAAGACGAAACACTTTCGTATTTACGTATTTTTATCAATTATTGTTCATTGAACGGGAGTTGGTTTGTTCCCCTCGAAAAGTCAACTAATTTCCGATCAATGACAATGATTACATGTTTTAATTTTTCCTTTTTACAATTGAAATTTTATTCTTCATGATGATTTAACTCCAGTCCCTGTTAAAACATTATTAACATTTTACTTTCAAATTACTTCAAAACATCTTTCAAAATATAACTTACCAGTATGGATTCACACTTTTAAAATAATTCTACTTTAATTAAACTTAGGAGATAATATAATCAATTAATCAATACTGTTTAGGAAATACATTAGAACAGTGCTAGGAAATACATTAGAACAGTGAACATAAATCTAACATATATCCTAAGTCGTGCTTTCAAGACATGAAAAACACAATTTGAATTTCGTCAATCGGTCAAGTAGAACAGAAGATATGGAACTTCCCCCCCCTTTTTTTGCGCAGTGTACATTATGATTCACATAATTTCTTACCTAAGTTTTTGAGTAACTGTAGTAGAATTCCAGTGATCCATGACGACTGAATCTGTTAATATCCGTAATCTGCACTCTGTTATCAGAGTAAATGAACAAAATTTCAAACTTTACAGGATTTGTTTCTTCTATATAATGAAAATAAAACTTTTTTGATAAAAATGCCATAGTTTGATGAAAGCAAATTTAATATTGAAATTGTGTGCCCAAAACAGCATTTTTTTAATAAATGAGGATCATTAATCTCAGCCAGTTTTTTTGCTTTAGGTAAATCTCCACTCACAGTACATTTTACATGATCTTTTAATATTAATTTTGAACCCATGAGGAAAATTAATTTTAAATTTAGGTGGCATTTGTCAATAATTTATTCATGTAAACCTCTTTAGTCACTATATTTAAGCTAATATGCACTTCATTGTTGTTGTTGTTTACATTCCATGCAATAAGCAAGTACCATCATTGGATAATAGGAAGAGATTCTTGAAATTAGCCTTGTAAAGATTTTTCTAGCACTAAAAATTGAAAACATGGTAAACAAAAGTATACTATAGGAACACAAATATATTCTTTAGAATCTCGGTTCTAGATTTTTTTAAGCATTTTTAATCCAATTACACATACTTAGAACATAATGACAAAATCAACAAATAAATTTCAATTTAGAGAAATGCTTAATGTTAAGGATTTTGCAAACAGCATATTTTTTTATCTCATTTAAAGGTACAAAAATTATTTTGAAAGCAATTCTGTTAGCGGAATTTTTTTTTTCGTAAAATTCAATGCATTTTTGAAAGTCTTCAAAAAAATTTTAGCCCTTCACATTTCCTCTTTTCTCCTTCCCCTTCCTTTTGGGGATTCATTATTATATCTTTATATTTAATAAATGTTGATTAAAATTTTAGCCCTTCACATTTCCTCTTTTCTCCTCCCCCCTCCTTTTGGGAATTCCTTATTATATCTTTATATTTAATAAATGTTGATTAAATAATTTTGTTATGAGTATGTTTTATTAGATATTCATGAGTAAACAATCTATATTTATGCAGAAATTAAAAAATAAATGCACACAAAACTCAAAGTCTATCTATTTATCCTGTAAAATCCGCTACTGAACACCACTCTTAGTCCTGAGGAGTGTGGATTTTTTTTAATTCTACCACATATTCTTTCAAGGCATGAGCACAAAAAAACACACTGCAAAACACTTCCCCCCTGCCTTAAGATCATACACAGTTGAGTGTATCAAAAGGAATGTGTGAACCAGAAAAATAAGTGAAATATTAGTGTTAGAATATTAGTATTCAAATAACAGAAATTTATTCTTTTGATAATGAAAAATATTTATTTATATATATATACATCTGATATATAAATTTCAAAATTTCAAAATAAAATAAAACCAACGATTCAACTTATGGGCTGTAACACTTCACTTTTAAATAAAATGGTACATGGACCTGCTAAAGAAGATCCTACTATAATGTTAAGGTGCACAGATATTATACATTATGGAATGTAAATCAGCAACCTCATATTTTGATATGATGTGACTTTATTTGCATAATAAATACAATAAGATCTGCATTAAAGGATTACAAAATATAAATAAATATAATGAATATTTAAAATATAATTAAAATTAAACAAATAAAAAATATACCTCTGTTGTCTTCCCAAGATGCTGAGACAAAACAACCATATTTATTAGAGTTTCTGGACAATTTGGATCCTAAATTAAAAACAATCCATAATATTAAAACTGGATTTTGTATGAATTTCACAATCAAACACAAGGAATCAATATCCTCCCAAAACATAAATTACTTCAACTAAAGAACATGCATTTTTAAATATAAAATTCTTGAATATATGGTGGAAGTCCTCACTGCAGTGATTGCAACATTCATCTCTGCTGTGCAATATGCATATGTGCTCATCACAGTGCAGGGATAAAAGCTTGATCTTTTCCGCAGGTGGACTTGCGTGTTAATGTTTAAATATTTTAGCTTTTTGTGAGATGTGATTTCCTTTTAGTGAATGTTAAGTAAAGTTAGTTTTAACTGTTGCCTAAAGTTTTGTTATAGGCCTTTCTGTTGAGCTTCTGATGGAGTCTAATTGCGATAAAACAGCACAATATTTGATGACTGATGTACGAACTGCACCACACGTTGCAACTACACTTGCCTTGAAGACTGGTTGTGATTTCACCCATGATTTTGTATGGAAGACGCTTCTCCAAAATCTTGTGGTTCAGAACTTATCGAATGAAATATGGTGCAGTTTTAGGTGCTGCTGGAGAAAATTTTAAAGCAACCTGGATGGATTTTTGATTTCATGATGATATTATGTGCAGTACAAAAGATTCTTAAGAATATTTTGGTGACGATTTTCATCAATTTGTATGTCAGTGCTGAAACTGTATTACCTTAAAATTATCAGTTTTTTTTTTTTTTTTTTTTTTTTTTTTTTAAATGCAGGTAGGATTAAATTATTTTTTCATGAAGTGTTTTGCAAAAAAAAAAAATTACTGATAGTTTTATTGAATTTTTAATGATTTCTAGAATATCTTTAAAGTGTATACTTTTATTGTGAATATTTAATAAATGTATCCATAATATATATGTTACTCTACATTATTTATATAATATAAAGCGAATATTTTTATTGTGCGTTCTTGGCATTCACTGAAGACAGTTTTTCTTTATTGATAATGTGAACAGTACATTTTTACCAAGTGAATATTTTACATTTTGTTAAAATTCATGTATTTTTCTTCTCATGTGTATGCCAAACAGTTATAGATGCATGATAGGTCTTTTATCCTTTTCTACTATGCTTTAGTAGTGATATTTTTCTTGTGTTTGCAATTAGAATCACATATCCTTTCTAAATTTAATAGTCATGTAGTGTAATGAAAATTCTACTGATAATTTTCTAACTGGAAATAAAGCAGCTATGCAGGTATATCGCATGTTTCAGGAAAATCACTGCCTTTTTGGACAATAAGCCCTACATTATCATTTGTTAGAGTGGAATTGCAATTTTCCCTTTCCAATATAACTTTGGGTTTAAGAAAATTAACTGTGTTGTTCCTGCTGTTAACTCAGATATATTTAATTCTGTTAATAATATCCTTTTAAAACCTCTTGCTACTGGAAAACTTGATATTCTAAAACAAAGATTTTTGGGGGGGAGGGAAGGAAGCCCCCACACCTTCTGCAACACCTGTAAGTTTTTCGACGTGGTAATAAAACCTTTACCATAGCTACAAAAGGATGATATCACTGTGTCTATCGACAGAGTAAAGCCTCCGTATCTAGTCTCAGATGATGTATCTGAACCTCCTAGCTTAACTGATGTGGATAAGGTCTCATCACAGCAGCCAGCCTATCCAGTAAACGAACAGCACCTGAAAAAAGTGCTCAAATTACCAAAAGTGTTGCAAATTACCAAACTTGTTCAAGACGTCGTGTTCACTTTCCCAAATAATTCATGCAAGACTAATTTTTTCCTTCTCTTTTTCAGATTTTTAGTGCATTTTTTTTTCCAGGAAGGGAGATGGTGTGGGGCTACTTCCCCCACACCACACACACACATTTCTTCAGCAACTCGAGTTCTCCTCACGCATGCGAGATAAGAATCTCATCTCTACGTGACTGCAAAAAGAGAACTTTTGCCTTCTGTTTTTTTTACGAGTCTGTGCACATACTGTATTCATCACTGACATTTATGTTATCCTAATGCTAAGTATATATTTTGATTTATTAAAAGATTTTTTTCTTTTTTCCTAAATGGGTGTTTAGTTAATAAGACCCCAGACTGACTGCAATACATTCTGAAAGCAAAGTGCCAAATATTCACAATCTGTTGCAAGATCTTGAGCTTGGTGACCTGGTTATTGACTCATACATACACTTAGCAGGTGATATTGCAAGTGTACCCTTATTAAGATCTTACTGGCTTGGAAGGCTGCCCAATAATACACAATCTATTTTGGCTGCTCTCAGTGAAGATAATTTGAGTAAATTGGCTACGGTCGCTGGCAAAATCACTGAGCTCGCATCTCACTCCGTGTTAGTCGTGACTACTGGAGCCAAATGAATCTGCTACAACTCCTTTGGAACTTCAAATAATGTAACTGACAAAGAAAGTTGTTAAATTAACATCTGGCCTGAGACATAATTATCACAGTCCTAAATGCAATTTCAATCAGATACTAGCACATTAGGTCACGAGAACACATATAAATCACTATAAGGAGTAAAGAGATGACCTTAGTTGCTATCATGCAAATTTTAGCAAGCTTGCAAGGAATTGTCAAACCGCTTGCTATATAAGGTGGTGGTCTTCAGGTGAATTGTATACTTTTTGCCGACCCCCTATCAAAATTAAAATACTTAATTGATACTGGAATGGATCTGTCGATATTACCAAAGAAGTATGCTCAGCATCCTAGGCCTTCTGAGGATCTTTTCTGTTTTGATCGCCGCAAATGGAACTCAGATTCCCACATTTGGCACTAAATGTCTTACTTTGAATTTAAATTTACACTGTACCTTTATTTGGTTATTTGTTGTTACAGGTGTAAATCAACCAATTTTGGGTGCTGATTCCTAAGAAATATGGATAACTTGTTGGCATTGGTAGTAATTGCATTATGAATCCCGGGAATGGTTTGTCATCGCAAGGCAAACTGCATCAGTTTGTTTGATTTAGCATATACAGTACAAAGTCTGTAATCCGGACTCATCAGGACTTCGGCGATTCCGAATTAGGGGTTTTTCTGGATTATAGATCATCAATTTAAATCTGGTAAGATGGCATGCAGAAATTATACAATTAAAAATATGAAACCATAATTTATGAAATAAAGAGCAATTATGATCTAAAGGGTATCAAAATTTACAAAAAAAAAAAAGCCTAATATTTTTTTGTTTACTTTATTAAATATTTCTTTCAATGTAAGTTGTTTAAGATGCTTCCACAAAATATTCAAAAAGTTCCTTTTTCTTTTTTCTTGTGTCATACAATGCAATATTCCTCGCATAATTTTCAGATGGATATGCCTTTATCCATTTTTTGCAGCAATTCCACTTTCTGATTGATGGACATCGAAACATGCTTTCGCTTTGTAGATCATTTGGCAGCTTCAGAATTGTACTCTTTTTGACATAATCGCTTATAATCGCTCATAATCGCTCGCTTTGACATAATCGCTAATAAAGTTCAAGCTTAATTTTTATAAAATTGCTCTAACAGTCTGCAAAAAATAATAAGCCGGATCCAATTAGAAGATTAAGGAACAGCGCAATCTGCAACACTGAAATGCCTTAGAATCAGTAAAGATAATTTTAGTCTATCTTATACCGTCTGTTATACATTAAACGCATTACGTGCATGCGTGAAACATAAAAAAAAAAGTTTGTGGCTTTGAGGTCCGGATTATAGATCATTCCGGATAATGGATGTCCAGATTATGGACTTTGTACTGTATATCTAAATTTGATAAATTACTAGCTGAGTATTCTTAGCTCATATTCCTTCCTATGTCACCAACAATAATCAAACATCAACAATTTTCCATTATACTGAAACTAAATGTCCCCCAATGTTTTCTATATCCCGTATACATGAGTATCTCATGTCACAGCGAATCATTTGGTCGCCCAACAGTGCTTGGGTCAGCCCTCTTCACATGGTCTGTAAGGTTAATGGTAACTAGCACCCTTGCAGTGACTTTTGCTTCTTGAATGATGTGACTATTCCCGACTAGTATCCCCTATTCTGCATATTCAGGACTGTACATAGATTTTCTTTCAGTTAAAATACTTTTTCAACATTTGATTTGGCTAGAATGCACCTTGAAATCTCTTTTAACCCCAGAGTATGAGCCTAAGACAGCTGTGACTATGCTATTCGGATTACTTGAATTCCTGAAAACCCTATATGGCTTGCAAAATGCAGGCCAAAGAGTTATTCATCAAGTATTTCCTTGCTTAGACTTTTCATGTTCCTTACTTTGATGATTTGCTTGTGGCTTCAGCAAATGAAGACAAGCATGACAGCCACCTCTGTTTGATTTTTGATAGATTGCAAAATTACAGGTTAAAATTAAGTCCTTCTTAATGTATTCTGGGAAAGTCATTGGTGTATTTTCTTGGCAGTTTAATTACCCCTTCAGGTGTGTGATCTCTTTCTGAAAAATCTGCAATAACGTCTAACTTCCCTAAACCTGTAATAATGTTTGAATGAAAAAGGTTTTTGTCAATGTTGAATTTTTATCAATGACTTTTACCTAAGGCTACTATTACCCAAGCTCCACTTCATTCTCCTCTAAAAGATTCTAAAAAGAATTATAAATATCCCATTCCTTGGACAGCGGAAACAATTGTGGACTTTGAGAAATATAAAAATGACCTAACAAATTCACTGCCACTTGGTTATCATATCCCTAGTTAGCAGTTGTCATTGACAGTCGATGCCTCAGATGTTGTTATTGAAGCCGATTTGCGCTCCCGACAGGATAATGGCCTTCAACCACTGGTTTTCTTTTTCTCCTCAAAACTGACTCTAGCTGAAACTAAGTACAGCATATACCATAAAGAATTACTCACTATCTGCAGCGCTGTAAAGGATTTTCAACATAATCTTGAGGGAAGAGGTTTTACAATATATACAGATCATCACACTCTACTATTTTTGTTCAGAAAAAAATCAGATTCTCTGTTA